TTTTGTCTTTCAAAAATACTCCTATTTTGTTGTTATGATCATTCAACCATATCATAAACATTTATTCACTTTTTATTTAACCTACAGTTATGTTATCTCCCATTTTTAACGATTTATACCTTTTGTAGTCATGGTTGATTTAAGTAAGGACATGTACTTTTCCTGTCATATTTATAATATAAGTACACGTGCTGGAAATACCTGCTTATTTATTTATTTATTTAGCCATTATTAACTGTTGTTTATACATGGGAAATCCTTTTTTTGCTTATAATCAATTGTATACCCTTATTTCATCATATGTTAGTAATCAATAACCATTGAGTTTGTCACCGCCTTCATTCATTATTATTCTTAAAAGTTTATTGACAATGATATGCACTTTTAGTCTGTTCAGTTATTTTTGTCCGCCAAGGTCACATAATGACTTGAACTTTGCTGAAAACAACTTCAATGTGTATTCATTATAGATGGATTATAGTTGAGGTAAAATTTCAAAAACTAAAAAGCACTGAATATCTGTTTCGTCCTATTATAGGTCTCTTCGGTGGTGCTCTCTCTCTCGCACACACACACAATTTGGCACGGCATCTTTAGATCTCACAATAAACGCTTAATCATCAAAACAATCGGATCGGTTTCTAATGCTACAATCCCAACACCAATTAATTTGCTATATAAGGCAACGATTAGGTGCATTCATCTATTTTTTTATTTAAACATATAAACAAGGCACAACGGGGCACCAGAATATATGTGCGCCGATGAATAAAATTGAGGTTGTGAAAGGATAGAGAAACGGAGGTGAGCATAAAAAAAGGAGAACAAAAATGAAAAAGAGTTGGTATGTGAGAATAATAATAATAATAATAATAATAATAATAATAATAATAGGGGGAGGAGGAACAGTTCAGTTAAGAAAAATACAATCAGAAAGGATTGTTTCAGTGAAAGAAGTTTCTCTCACTTACTCTGAGCCATAATTGTTAATGTCTAAAAAAACTGAGATGTACCATCTCTAGGATTCCAACCAGGGAGTCGTAAAGCCGTAGTTATGGTTCGTGATCGACAGCCTTCAGCTACGGTTCCCCATTAAAACTAACAAGATCAGCATCAATGTCGAAAATCTTCAAAACTATTTATTTTAGAGAGTGTTTTTTTACCGCTATACATGATTTCAACTCGTCTTTCAACTTCTTTGGTAGATATCAGTGTGAGGTTGTGGAGATTGAGATCATGAATCGATCAGTGTTAGACCACCATTCAAAACCTGGAAGCACTGGACGACTCTTCTACGGTAATCATCTACGATCCCGCACACAGGACCTATCGGTCTCACGCGTGAACGCCTAATCTCTAGACCACTGATCCGGCATCCAACGGTATTAACGTCTAACTTCGTCCAGTACACAAAAGTAAGACACTAACACCGTTGGATGCCGGATCAGTGGTCTAGAGATCAAGCGTTCGCGCGTGAGACCGATAGGTCCTGTGTTTGAGTCCCATGTGTGCAGTCGTAGATGATTACTGCTGAGGAGTCCCATACTATGACGAAGTGGCCGTCCAGTGGTTCCAGGTTTTCCATGGTGGTCTAGTTTCAATTGAATCATGATCTCAACTATTAAAATTACTACAATATCCACGAAAACCCCTTCTGATATTAAAAATATTTGTGCGAAAAACGGCTACGTCTATTATGGTTCCCGGTTGGGTTGAGTTAATTGCAAATCAAAGAACAGTTGAGCTATTCCAATACGAACAGTCCCATTGAGGACTCGATAATGGCAGCTGGCAAAAACACTTCAACAGTTCCCTGCTAACACAAGACGAGAACGAAATGGAAGAAAAAAATAATATTCTAACAGAACAACCTGAAATGTTACGATTTTGTACATATATTGGCGAAAACATAAATTTTAATCATATGGAAAGGTAAACGAATTAAAAGTAATGGCAACCAATCACAAAAGGGTATGCCAAAAAATTGAACTAGAAAAAAACAATCACTGGCGGTTAGCGTTCCTGGTTGGATTTTAATACAATTAATCCCGTAGTAGTAGTCTTAGTGGAACTATATTCAACAATCGTTAGTTTTCTTTGCTTAATATTCATTTCATTCATGTCTACTTAACATAATGAAAAAGAATGATCATAAATGCTCCTTCTTGCCTTCGCTCTCCTTTACCTCAAAAAAGGAAAAAAATGATTACCCCCCGGCAATTTCATCAAAAAATAAGTTCAGTAAATCGACCAACTATCATAAAATAGACTTCAGAAATTAGGAAATGAATAATTCTACCACATATGAACAATTTCATGCATATAGTTCCTTTTGAAAAAAGTTTGAAAAGAATAAAAACTAAGATTTTAGCTAGAATTTTTGTTAGACCACCATTGAAAACCTGGAAGCACTGGACGCCGTTTCGTCCTATTGTGGGACTCCTTAGCAGTGCGCATCCACGATCCCGCACCTAAGGGATTCGAACCCAGGGCCTTCAGTCTCGCGCGCGAACGCTCACTAGTGAATAGCTTCGTGAGGAAATTCTCGGAGTTCTGGTGAGAAGCCGTGACCAGTGGAGCTAATCCGTGTCGGGTAGGTATAGGTGTCTACAATGGAAGATGGGCGCGCAACTTCGTGGATTGGTTGGGGTTAGACATTAACACCATTGGATGCCGGCTCAGTGGTCCAGTAGGTTAAGCGTTCGCGCGCAAGACTGAAGACCCTGGGTTCGAATCCCTTAGGTGCGGGGTCGTGGATGCGCACTGCTAAGGAGTCCCACAATATGACGAAACGGCCGTCCAGTGCTTCCAGGTTTTCAGTGGTGGTCTAACATCAATCGGTTCATGATCTCAATAAAAAACTTAACAATCTCCACAACCCCTAAACTAAGAATCTTTGTTCTTGCTCTTTTCGAATTAATACAGATGATAAACTATCATGCCATAGGGTGGTGTGGTCACACATATATATGAAGAATACTTAAACTAATCAAGAAAGTTTGCGATTAAATGATTGTAATGATGTAGATTACATAATGAAACACAATAAGTCAAAAGTAAACTATGATATCATAATTACTAATAGATTAATTGTTTTGAAGCTTATGTGTTAATGTTTAAGAACAACACTGAAGGTTTTATATATAGTTTATCTGCATGAAGAACAAGTGTAGGCTACGAATATTTCTCACTATCCTAAAGGTTATTTTATTTAAATCTTCGACTATTAATAAGGGTTACTGATCTCTCATTATTTATATTCTTGACTTTAATTGTTCGTGTCTTCTTCCTATACATGTATCTTCAGTGATTGTTTTGACATACTATTATGTCACAAGTCTTAGTTATGTGGCTACCAGTGGAGTCCAGGACGAGAGTTTTACTTCGTTTGTAACTTATCAGTTGGATGTACCTGCAAACACTATCGGTGTTCACTCGAACCAAACACTCTCAGCTTTAAATCTCATGTTATCCACTGGTACATTCAACAGACGACTCCAAAACAGGACAAAATGGGCGTCCTGGATTCCAGTACTAGCCACAGTGCGTTTGTTGTGTAAAACTGGTGTAAACATAGCTATATCAAGACAATTAGGACAGAATACATATATGCCAACAAAGACCAAACAAAATTCTATCGTAAATACCATTTGTAGTGTGATCCAAGCACTAATTAATGATTATAAAGCTCGTGCCTATTTGTAATGGTTGATTGAATCTTTCCATTGATGTTTAGAACTGCAATTGGCCATTCTGATTTTTGACATATATGCATTCTGTGTGGATTGCCTCGAAATTATCATTAAGTCACAAGCATGATATGCAAGAATAGACGGTAGCTAGCAGTGGAATCCAGAGGCGCGTTTCGTCCTATTTGGGACTCGTCGTCTAGATGTATCTACATTCCAGAGTTGATGTTTGCTCTGGGACTCCAATTGAGATTACTGAGATTTGCAGCGATTTTATTTCATGAGTACTGGCACTCGCCAAGTAGAACCACGTAGTGAGCAACAGTCTTGTTCCACTATGGGACTCATCAGCAGCAGTAAGCACACAGCGACGACAGAGACCGAACCCGTAACTTCCTGTCACGACAGTGATGTCCTAATATTTAGACGATTGAATCGTAATCTAGTGATTAGAATTGCCAATTCTAGTCAACTCATGCTATAGTGCTGTTGGGAAGCCCTTGAAATGAATCTAATTACTATGGTAGAGTGTTACAAGTTACTCCGTATGTCAAATCACTCAGGTACTGTTCATACCATTATCACCAGCATTCGAATTAATGGTTGAAATACGAACAGTTGCGGACACTTTTTTAGTAATGATAATAATAACGCTTTATTACCAGAGAAGTAAACTACACTGTATACCTTTCAAACAATGAAGTGGCTGCTACTAAGTTCCCAGGAATATAATAATCATGTACACTTTTTTTCGTGGTTCATATAAATGTTCAAAATAGGCGATGGACAAGGCTGGTAATAACAAACTCAAATTCTCTGACAGGTAGTGAAAAGCAGTTGTTCATATAAAACGACGCATAGCACCATTAGTGGTTAACCTACAAATACACGTTAACTCCATTCAACATAGTACAGCCCAGACTGAAGACCACATTCATGAGTCAATTCTTATGGAGAATCGTGCAAATTATCATGTTGACCGTACATGCTAATCCAGACTAACCAATAGAAATAATGGGCGTTACCATGACATTCACAATCCAGTTTTAACCAATTAAAACTCAATGTGAGCTATTCGGATACGAAATGAACAATGAAGACACGCATTTAACTGCAGGCTTTCCTTTGAGTTAGGGGAGTGGGTCAGATAATATGGGTAACGAATCAAAATTTAGAGTTGAGGTACATGTTGTGCTATCATCCTGTCTGACTGTATATTGTATGTGTATCCATATATGTCATGTATATATATTGATTGTGTGATTGTTTGCATGTGATTGTTATCTGTCTGTTACATGTGTACATGTGATTGGGACAGTCAATTTGGCCTGTGAGAATTGTTAGTTTTATTATTATTGTCCTGACCAAAGAATTTTTGGGCGTGAAATTCTGGGGTTTTTTTGCGTCACCAAGGTGGTTTTTTTTGCTGCTTTCGCTTCTGCGACATTTATTTGTCGCTTCAAAATCTCATCTCAGGAGTAATCAATCATTACAACTAAGTCGTGAATTAACAAAATAAATTAGGATTAATTAATCTATACAATGATGATGATGTTGGATCATCATTCCACTGAACATCATAATGGTTTAGATCCGAAATCCGATACAGATATTGGGATAGTTAATTCTAACATATTATGTGAATCTAGACGACCAAATTCTAATATTCCTAAAGTAAATGGAGATTTCACACATAATACTTTTCATTCTTCACCAACATATGTTTATCCACTTGATCGACATTCCGCTCCAGCATCCACAAATAAATCAATCTCACGTCAAATAACACCGAATGATTCATGTCATGAAAGTACTTTACGTTTGCACGGTAAGTCATTGTTTCCATTTTATTTTTATGGAACGATGTATAATATATATATCAAAAGAACATTCAATAAAACGACTAATTTTTAGTGTTGCTATGACTAACTTTCTCACTTTTTGACTGAATTATTGAAATACGGTGTACACTTTTGAATATACTCGATTGTAGTTGATTATATTTTGTGTTTATAGTAACAAAATTATTCCTAAATATCAACTGTCAGCATTACGTTCTATGCGACACTTAACTACCAGAGTTGTTCACTAGAGATCTTACAAAGTTCTTCGTCATTCATAACTGATTAACTTTAGATTATCTCTAACCTTCAAGTAACGAATATGGGACATAACCTAATATATAGAGATGTAATTCATGAATGAATGACCAACTAGTTGATACACTAATTCGTTCTGGAAATGAAAGTGTGTATATTAAATGTAGATCGGTAGTTATCAGTTAAATCTTTCAATTTTCAACCATTGAATCCCCTACCATCAACTCTCACATTTAGAATGTTTACTTGAATCCACTTATATTCATCTGCATCTCATTATAGTAACTGTGTTTCATCATAAAATGTTTACAATAACTGTGTACGATTCCCTATCATAGACTGTGAATTCACTGATCTATTACTACTCACTCATAGACAATATGCTTCATGTATCTGACTGAGCTGATACACATCACATAATTATAGTGGGAGCAACTAACTTAACATAAAAATGACAGTTTCTTAGATGAAGGGATAAATGCCGGGAAATATGAAATAAATCCAAGATAAAGCAACTTTATTTATACCAATTTCAAAGGACAATTGAATACATTTGCCGTGGTGTATAGATTACTGAAGTGATATGTGTATTCCGTATATCTCCAAACTAAAAAAGTACTTCCATTTCTGTGCTCATTTTGGTTAATTTATAAATAAAAAAAGAGAAACATTCACCGGCTTGTACAATCGATCCATTGTATGTTTGTCGTTAGATGATATTTTAACATGCCTAAAAAGTTTTCAGTTTTTTTCTTTTTATAATCATGTTCTTTGCCTTATTCTCATAAGCAATGGGAATGTAGGTTACAATCGTGTACATAAATCTGTAGGTGATAATGGAGTTGAATAAATTAGAAATTCTGATAGATCATGTATGTTTCGGTTAACAATGCATGATCTATGTAAATAATGAAGTAGCTTTTACAGGGAAAAATATACATTTCCTGGGTAATAAAATTGTAACCAGGACTCAAAAATGCTAATGTAACTAGGTATTGGTTTTTTATGCGCATGTGTGTGTGTGTGTTATCGATATGGTCACTGACTGATGAGAACAAGATTTATTATTAATGTTTTTACTCACTTTCAATCTCATATTTCAGTTTATTACTGTTAAGATATTTGGTGTTATATTAAGAGCGATCAGTTTTCAGAATGACAGTATACCGATACTTTGAAGTTGTCTGGGATGCATGCTTTGAATTTATTAGTTTATTAAATGTCCGGCTCTTTAACCGGGTTGGTGGACATGGAGAGCTGGAAAACCCTGATTCCAAACCAATTCTCCACATGGGCTCCAGTATCCTGAAGGAACAATTGGAGTATGAACCAATCGTTGGTCACCGGCTACCATGGGACTGTATCTCCTTACGATGCTCCACTGCCTTGTGGATCAGACCTCCAGGTCGAAGGCTCCGGATGTGGCCCTCTAAGAAAACCACCTGCTTCGGTTTGAGCACCCGAGCAGTATCACAGCCCTCACACATATCAAATGAGATCTGTGTGGCGCATATATATTTGGTGCCTCTTTGTACCAATATCTATGTGTTAAAATACATAAATAGTTTATTAATTATGATCATAGTTGGTTACTTGTACATACTGAAATGTATACAGTTTGTTATTTTTGCTTCTATGTTGTAGTTCCTGTATTCACAACCGTTAAATTATGCCCCATAACTCCACTTCAGTGCTAGGTGATTTCAGGTAGTGGTCTTTAAACAATGTATATGTGGTTTGATGCTACTTGATATTCGTCACCATAGCGTACCTGAAATATTCAAGTAAATTATGTTCTTAATGCAATTCTTAGCCTTGTCATTCAGTTTTACAGTTTGAGACGTTGCTATTATGATATTCTTCCAACGAATGACTTATTATAAGGCTAAGGTATTAAGACTGATTGGTCACTAGCTCTACTCCAGTTGTGTATGACCAATTAACTGGTTATTTTATGATAAATGTACAAATGATGTTACTTGATAGTTTTGATTTGTGTGTTTGTGTGACAAGTATCAGTTATTGGATGTTAGTACATACGCAATATTATGAGTTAGTCAGTCAGTCGGCTTAAACTGAAATCCTAATCAAGTTTATTTGAATATAGCTTGTAATTCGTTTGTCACTTCTGCTTGGGTTTTTTTATCAAGCTCTAACTTCATACCTGTTTTGCATCCATAATTCTTTTTTAGACTCCATTTTTCTTAGTCGACAATCGTACTCTGTTTCAATTTGCATTAGTTCAGTAACATATCGATAGTATAATAGTGATTATCAGTGCTAACCGGTGTTGGAGATGGTTGGAAGGGAGTTAGGGGTGGCCAAACCAAAACGTGGCATCAGTGCTTGAAGTCACTAACTTCTAGTCTGAGCCATGTTGGTAGATGCAGACTACTTGGTTGGAGTCCGCGTGACTGTCGTAACCAATGGTTGAAGATTCTTGATGAAATGGCTCAGAATCGTTCCCTTAAACTGTGAGATTAAAATCGCTTCATATCCTTCTTTCTACGAACTAATTCTTTCTTCCTGTACGATATCCCTATATTTAATCTTTCTTTTATATATTACTACCTTTGAATTAACACTACTTTTATGAATCCGGTGTTGATCTTGTTGTGTTAATGAGGTATGGCAACTTGGACCGATGCATATATGTGCCTGGTCCTACTTTGTAGTTGACTGACTGATCAATATAATTTTTTAGTTTTAATGATTACATTCTATTCTCATGGTTTATTCCATGCATTCAACAAAAAATGTTGAAGAACATAATAATAATCTCAGCAATAGAATTTAAGACTAGGATAGGCCATAGCAAAACGTGATAACAATCCATTCTATTGATTGACTGCTGATTTGAACTAGGTTGTTAAATATATTCTACTTGCTTAGGGTTTGCGATGATTGCTATATATAGCTAAAGACGTTAAGCGACATTGCTGGGAATCAGTCTCAATTGGGGGGGGGAATGCATTTACTCTTTTTCTTCCCTTAGATGTCTTGTATTCAAAATGGTCTTGCGTCATTCCACAAATTCACTCACTGATCCTACTACTACTACTTTGATATATATCTTGTTAATTTCATTCCTCTATTCTAATTTAGTACAGCAATGTAGACTGGTGCACATATGTACCATGTTCTACGTGGTTCCTTATAATCTGGCTGATAATGATTGAGAATCGACCAATTTATCAAGAGTTATTTTCATTTACTCACTTTTTTTACTCATATTTCAGTGTTTGGTTTTAAACCTTTTTGACGTAGTCCTAGTGATGAGTTTCTCAGCAACTTTCGTTTCCTATTGAAGAACTATGATTCAACTATATTGATGAAAGTTCCATGTGCTTAGTGGAATGGAGTCTCCTATATTCCAATGACATCATTTTAATGCATATGAATATTTATGACTAGAAGTTAGGAAAACACCTCAACTACCATAAGTCATTGGGTTATTAGTTCTATGTCTAATCAAGAAGGTTTTTCAAAGAATTTGTTGCAGATTATTTCAGTCAGTCAGTAACAACGTAGAACTTCGTACGTACGTACGTACTTCAGTTCGAGTTGCCATACCACATTAGCACAGAGATGCAGTTGTCGATTTAAATCCCGTAGTGGTAGAGGTAGTAAAAGTATAAACAGTAATCAGGAAGATTAGGGTTTAGAGATGTTATTTAAAGAGTATAATCCAGTGAAATAAATTTGGAAAGAGGAAAAAAGGGAAATGACAAATTCAGAAGATTGGAATTTTGGAGAACACAAAGAGTGGATGCACCTGTGCCATTGTAAACGATTTTGAGCCATGTCATTCAAGGTTTCTAACCATCGGTTACTATCGACTCGCGGACCCCAGTCAGGTAGTCTACACGTACTATATGACAGAGTCAGTGTCTTCATGGACTTGTGCCATGTTTTGGTCGACATAACTTGTTTACAAAGTATGGGTTTATGAACTGAGGTTTAAGCTGCAGTTTTTTGTATGTTAAAGAATTACTGATGCTGTCCATTTGCCCGAACGAAAATAAATAGCATTTGGTTCAGATCCACGAAATGTTGATTGTGAATTGAACATGCTAGTCACTAAGACACGGTTACACACATCAATATTTACACTGCATTAAAACTATATGGAAACTAATAAAATGCAGGTTTTCTGACTATTTTTGTATTCATTGAATATTTCGATATCCTTGACCATAATTCATTCATTTCAGTTAGTAAAACGGCCTAGAACCCTCTGATTATTCAAACATAATATAAATGGGGTTCAATTTATTATTATTTTTCATACTCCATTGACCTGAATATTTACAGGTCATATACAAGGGTCTTATTCATTTTTTTTTTCTTCTAGAATTTATGGTGTGTTGACCGTAGTCAAAACCTATAACCCAACCATTTCATTCATATGCGTTTCTTTGTTGTCCCATTTCTAATTTTTGCCTCTTCTCTCTTTTGTCTTCTTTCTGGTGACCGATTTCTATTTATAAATATAATATATGTCTTTATTCATTTGAACTATGTATACAATTATTGAATAGTGCCTTTGTTCGTCATTCAATCTATCTAAGAGGAATCTTTGTTCTAATTCCCTACCCTGTTTTTTCTTCATTGTTGAAGTGCTGAATTAATCCACAATGCATTAAAATATTGTATGAGTCAAACCGGTTAATCCAATCCCCTGCCCCCAGAATAATCAATATATTTGTGTGTATAAATATATATATAT